ATCGGAGCATGTTACAAAAAAACTTTTGGAACAAAAGCTGTAGCAAATTTTATACTTAACAACATTGCTCTCTTGCACTTTTGCACTCAGATGCGCCAATATAAAGAAAAATGCGAAAATATAAAAATTTGATGAATTTCGTTGTTCCACAAAGTGTTTATGGTAGCATTCGGGTAACGGAGCGTATTATAAAAAAACTTTTGGAACAGAAGTTATAGCTAATTTAATTCTTAGCAATATTGTTCTCTTGCACTTTTGCACTCAGATGCGTCAATATCCAGAAAAATACGAAAATATGAAAATTTGATGAATTTCGTTGTTCCAAAAACTCTAACATTTTTGCTCTCACATGGAAAGTGTCACAATTAGGTGTGACGTAATTAAATAATTTTCATTCTCTTTCTAAGATATTTACTTATTCAATAAAAATCGAAAGGAAAAATCTGTTAATATGAGACTTGTTAATTGGTTATCTCAATTTTAAATTAACGTTTTTGTGACAGCTGTGAAAGTATTTATTAGAGATGTGGAATGGAAAAGTAATTTGCAACTTAGAATTAAACGAATGGTATCCAAAAGTATGAATTTTTTATAAAAAAACGTGCTTAAAATCATGTTAACTTTAAAAACGCATAAAAAACTACTCTTAATAATAAAATTGTCGTTACATTTGACGCAAAATTGTTGATACTTTTAAGACAAAAAAAACTTTACGATCTAACTATAAACCTTTATTAATCGAAAAATCTTATAAATACCACCAAAAGAAAAATCCTCTCATTACTCGATCCTTAATCGTTGTATTAAGATGAATCGTATCATTTTAATTTACTTAAACATTTTCGTTTTTGGTAAAAAAAAATATTAAATAACCCCCAACAATTTTTATCTAACAAATAATTTTAGGTGTTAATTGTATGTTTTATAACGATGATGATGTAAGTTTAAGAATTGTGGATGGTTTCCAAGCGAGAAGTGGCCAATTCCCTTATATGGCAAGTTTAATTTTGAACAATACTTTTCAATGTGGTGGAACAATAATAACTCGCCAATGGATTTTAACGGCATCGCATTGTTTTATTGATCAGGAAACGCAAGAACGTTACGCCGCTGAATATTTTGAGGTAACAGTCGGAGATATTTATTGGCGTTCAGGACGAAGAAACTCCGTTTTAAGATACTTGACCCACGCAAAATACAACGGGGAACATTTCAATAACGATATTGCTTTAGCTCAAGTGAAATGGCCCTTTAAATTCGATTATTACTCCCAACCGATTAAATTAAATCGTTTACCTGTTATGGATCATCTACAAAATCTTTCAGTTATAACAGCTGGTTGGGGATTTTATGTTAATCCAAACGATAAAGAGGAAAGCGAATCAGAATCTCCCGTTTTATTAACGGTACATTTAAAAACAATCCCGATGAAATTGTGTAAAGAACATTTCGAAGCCGAAGCTTTACCATCAACGAAAATTTGCGTTTCTTCAGCTACAAGAAAAGGAACTTGTCAAGGTGATAGTGGTGGCCCATTAATTTATAATAACAAACAAATTGGAGTTGTAAGTTCCGGTTATCCATGCCCAACGGATATCCCAGAACTATACACAAGAATTTCATCGTTTTTCTTATGGATTCGAGAGAATATACGACGTTTAACACCTGGAGAATTGAAATATCTTGTTTAAACTTAAACGAAACTTATTTTTGTTTGTTAAATTAGTGAAATACATTAGTTTTTTTCTTGGCCTTTTTTAAAAATGATTTTTTTCCTCGATATTTACCTTAATTATTTATTACACTCGCTGTGATTTCTCCAGAGACTCAATAACGCAGACAATTTTTATTTTTTCTTCTTCATTTAGTACTTAACGATTTTTGTTGTAACCAGGAACAAGGAATATTCTATTTTCAGAAGGTTTTCTGACCGTTTAAGAATATCACCACGCGTAACGAATTACAACTAAGTAAGCGAACTTAGTAATTGTTTTATTGACGAAAACTATTATTCTATGTAAATACGAAGGAGATTTGGAATTGTTAAGTATGAAGAAGGTCGTAACATTGAATAATAAAGCTAATTTGAGATTTAAATGTTAATGTTAAATGTTAATTTCCGGGAAAGTTTAATTTGACGTTTTTTTTAAATGAGGTCAAGAAAAACATTTTTTTTTTTCAAATTGGTTAAGATTTAAGAAATGAAACTTTTTGAGGTCATAAAGGAACACTTAAGGTTATCTTCTACCAAGTTATAAGCTTCCAGCATGAATACTTTACTATATATACATTTATATATTATACGTTCTGTACATCCTGACTAGCTATCTGCCAGTAAAGTGTGGTAGGAGAGTTGTTTGGTGTGGAAGTGTTAAAAATCTGCCATCGTTCTTCTCGTCTCTCTTGCATTTTTGCACTTAGATACATCAATATAGAGAAAAATATGAAAATTTGATAAATTTCGTTGTTCCAAAAACTGTTTATGGTAGCACTCGGGAAGCGGATCATATTACAAAGAAACTTTTCGAACAAAAACTGTAGCTAATTTTATACTCAATAATATTGCTCTCTTGTACTTTTGCTCTCAGATGCGTCAATATAGAGAAAAATGCGAAAATATGAAAATTTGATGAATTTCGTTGCTCCAAAAACTCTTTATGGTAGCATTCGGGAAGCGGATCATATTACAAAAAAACTTTTGGAATAAAAGTTGTAGCAAATCTTATTCTCAATAATATTGCTCTCTTGCACTTTTGCTCTCAGATGCATAGATATCGAGAAAAATATGAAAATATGAAAATTTGATGAATTTCGTTGCTCCAAAAACTCTTTATGGTAGCATTCGGGAAGCGGATCATATTACAAAAAAACTTTTGGAATAAAAGTTGTAGCAAATCTTATTCTCAATAATATTGCTCTCTTGCACTTTTGCTCTCAGATGCATAGATATCGAGAAAAATATGAAAATATGAAAATTTGATGAATTTCGTTATTCCACAGTGTTTATGGTAGCACTCGGGTAACGGAGTATATTATAAAAAAACTTTTGCAATAAAAGTTATAGCTAATTTTATTCTTAGCAATATTGCTCTCTTGCTCTTTTGCTCTCAGATGCGTAAATATAGAGAAAAATGCGAAAATATGAAAATTGATGAATTTCGTTGCTCCAAAAACTCTTTATGGTAGCATTCGGGAAGCGGATCATATTATAAAAAAACTTTAGGAACAAAAGTTGTAGAAAATATTATTCTCAATAATATTGCTCTCTTGCACTTTTGCTCTCAGATGCGTCAATATAGAGAAAAATGTGAAAATATGAAAATTTGATGAATTTCGTTACTCCAAAAACTCGTTATGGTAGCATTCGGGAAGCGGATCATATTATAAAAAAACTTTAGGAACAAAAGTTGTAGCAAATTTTATTCTCAATAGTATTGCTCCCTTGTACTTTTGCTCTCAGATGCGTCAATATAGAGAAAAATGCGAAAATATGAAAATTTTATGAATTTCGTTGCTCCAAAAACTCTTTATGGTAGCATTCGGGAAGCGGATCATATTACAAAAAAGCTTTTGGAATAAAAGCTGTAGCAAATTTTATACTTAACAATATTGCTCTCTTGCACTTTTGTACTCAGATGCATCAATATTGAGAAAAATACGAAAATATAAAAATTTTATGAATTTCGTTGTTCCAAAAACTCTTTATGGTAGCATTCGGGAAGCGGATCATATTATAAAAAAACTTTAGGAACAAAAGTTGTAGCAAATTTTATTCTCAATAATATTGCTCTCTTGCACTTTTGCTCTCAGATGTGTCAATATTGAGCAAAATACGAAAATATGAANCTTTTTATGGTAGCATTCGGGAAGCGGATCATATTATAAAAAAACTTTAGGAACAAAAGTTGTAGCAAATTTTATTCTCAATAATATTGCTCTCTTGTACTTTTGTACTCAGATGCATCAATATAGAGAAAAATGCGAAAATACGAATGATGAATTTCGTTGCTCCAAAAACTCTTTATGGTAGCATTCGGAAAGCGAATCATATTATAAAAAAACTTTACGAACAAAAGTTGTAGCAAATTTTATTTTCAATAATATTGCTCCCTTGTACTTTTGCTCTCAGATGCGTCAATATAGAAAAAAATGCGAAAATATGAAAATTTGATAAATTTCGTTGCTCCAAAAACTCTTTATGGTAGCATTCGGGAAGCGGATCATATTACAAAAAAACTTTTGGAACAAAAGCTGTAGCTAATTTTATTCTTAGTAATATTGCTCTCTTTTAGTTTTGCTCTCAAATGCGTCAATATTGAGAAAAATGCGAAAATATGAAAATTTGATAAATTTCGTTGCTCCAAAAACTCTTTATGGTAGCATTCGGGAAGCGGATCATATTATAAAAAAACTTTAGGAACAAAAGTTGTAGCAAATTTTATTCTCAATAATATTGCTCTCTTGCACTTTTGCACTCAGATGTGTCAATATTGAGCAAAATACGAAAATATAAAAATTTGATGAATTTCGTTGTTCCACAAAGTGTTTATGACGATTTTAAAAATGAGATGAAGAAGGAAGTTTTTTTTTCCACAAAACGGTTAGGTTTTAAGAAATATAAATCATTAAGGATGTAAAGGAAGGTTTGAGGTTGGGTTGTATAAAATTTCAAGGTTTCAGACTCAATAATATGATTATTATATATAAAACGAGGTTTACGTTGAGTATAACCCTTTTTTAGTTTTGCAACTAATGTGTGATTTCCAAGATAACAGCAAGATACTTCACCTCTTTAGCAAAGGTTAATGGAGTGTGCTCTTCACACCATCGTTCAACAAGTTTAAACGCCTGCTGCATTCTATAACAAAGAAAATTGTTAGAATTAGCTCTTAACAGAGTAGCCACGTCATCGGAATAGCCGACTGTGACAAGATGTTTATTATTTGACTCACAAATGAGAGCATTAACCGTCTTGTGGGCAGTCTCTAACCACAGCTCTCTCTTCTGTGGGATCTTTTGCCTTAGGCTGAAAAACTCTGCTTGCTAGCATTGTTTTGAAAACTCTCTAAAGTTCCCAATATAGACTACTTACGACCGAGTGCTTGCTCAATGTGCCCAACCACCATGTGATGCAAATGCAAAAGAAACGCTTTAAGTACATTTTCTCTAATGTAATGATCACATAGTCTTTCAACGGTTTTTAAAAGAAAGGATGAGAGACTAATGGATCCTTCTTTAGGATCCTTTGGGTCTTTTTTTCCATTCTTTGGTATAAAGGTTACTGTAACATTCCTCCAGCTGATGGGGGTATAGTTAAACGCTAGGCAAGGTTTACAAACCCTCATTAAGTGTATTGTCATATCTTCTAGGCCCCATTGAAGAAGAGCAGGAAAGATGTTTTCAAAACTGCCAACTCTCACTCCACCAACTCGTTCTGTACATCCTGGCTAGCTATCTGCCAGTAATGTCTGGTAGGAGATTTGTTTGGTGTGGAAGCGTTGAAAAACTGCCATCGTTCTTCTCGTCTCTCTTGCACTTTTGCACTTAGATGCATCAATATAGAGAAAAATATGAAAATTTGATAAATTTCGTTGTTCCAAAAACTGTTTATGGTAGCACTCGGGTAACGGAGCATATTATAAAAAAACTTTTGGAATGAAAGTTATAGCTAATTTTATTCTTAGTAATATTACTCTCTTCTACTTTTGCTCTCAGATGTGTCAATATAGAGAAAAATGCGAAAATATAAAAAGTTGATGAATTTTGTTGTTCCACAGTCTTTATGGTAGCACTCGGGTAACGGAGCATATTATAAAAAAACTTTTGCAATGAAAGTTATAGCTAATTTTATTCTTAGCAATATTGCTCTCTTGCACTTTTGCTCTCAGATGCATAGATATCCGGAAAAATATGAAAACATGGAAATTTGATGAATTTCATTGTTCCACAAATTGTTAATGCTAGAAGTCTGGAAACGGATCATATTACAGAAAAACTTATGGAACAAAAGTTGTTGCAAATTTTATTCTTAACAATATTGCTCTCTTGCACTTTTGTACTCAGATGCGACAATATAGAGATAAATGCGAAAATATAAAAAGTTGATGAATTTCATTGTTCCACAGTGTTTATGGTAGCACTCGGCTAACGGAGCATATTATAAAAAAACTTTTGCAATGAAAGTTATAGCTAATTTTATTCTTAGCAATATTGCTCTCTTGCACTTTTGCTTTCAGATGCGTCAATATCGAGAAAAATGCGAAAATATAAAAAGTTGATGAATTTCGTTGCTCCAAAAATTCTTTATGGTAGCATTCGGGGAAGCGGATCATATTATAAAAAAACTTTAGGAACAAAAGTTGTAGCAAATTTTATTCTCAATAATATTACTCCCTTGTACTTTTGCTCTCAGATGCGTCAATATAGAGAAAAATGCGAAAATATGAAAATTTGATGAATTTCGTTGTTCCAAAAACTCTTTA